CAAATACAATTCCCATGTGGACCAGTTTAATGTGCCAATATTTCCCTAACTCCAAACGTATTTCATCATCTGCTGCTTCAGAAAGCCATTTTAATAACGTCAAAAATCGGATGTTTAGTAACAAGCAGCTGCCTCTACGTGTAGATAATTTTGTCATCGATTACGTAGATGGTTTAATTGGACACCTAAAACTAACAGAGGCAAGGGTAAGTTCTTCAAAAAAATGTGCAATACATTATAAGTATTTTTAATATTAAATCATTTCTAGCAGCAAGAGTTAAATCCATTAACAGAAGCTGAAATAGGTGGAATCATTGGAAAGGCAGAATCAGAAAAAAAGGCAAACTATGTTGATAGCTTAACTAATATTCTAGGTCAAATAGACAGCGACGTGGATTGTACAAAACCTACTTTGAAAAAGGTGTGTAAAGTAAAACACTTGATGTTATCAAATTCGATTCTACGCTAGACCGGTTGTTAAACGTTAAATAATATTTTTCAATAGCAAGAACTCCACCCATCAGGGGAAGCTGAGATGATTGAAAAGGCCGTACAAAAGAAAATGGAGACCCATGTTGTTAGCTTAGCTGATCAATCAGACAGTTCTGAAAGCGAAGTAGACAATAAAAAAGCTGCTTCACCAAAAGTAAAGGTAACAGTAGATAATATAATGGTTTAGTAAATTACGAGATAGATAATATGTTTATGGACGATGGGATAACCAGGTCTAGAATCTCTGATAAGGTGATTCAATAAAAGCTTCACAAATGTCTATCGTACAATATTTTATTTCATACTGTTAGGTGTATCGTATATATCGTTTCGACAAGACTATACTCTGTGATCAAAATTACTGGCAGTGACACGTATAAAGCCGCACACGATAACGACAAGGCGCCAAATTAAATAACAGCTATTTATTAGGATACCTATCAGTCGATTAAATATACACGCCACTGGAATGATTTCCCCTGACGTCTCACAACCCGCAATGCTCTATATGTGAGGAATGAGTCAGTGCCAGTAGTTTTGATCACAGACTATTATATTCTCACTATAATAGTGATGTGCACGTAGTTCCCAAACTGAAATTCATGGCGTAATATGTGGACATTATAAAATAAGAATGTGTTTTTTTAATGACATAGGTCATAGATGAATGAAATAAATAATTATTTGACAAAATTGACGTGTTCTGGTTGCCAATTGGAAATAGTATATTACATACCGAGGTGGAAAGTGTTTCATTATTGTCGAGAGATTTAGGTTAGACCGAGGCGCAGCCGAGGTCTAACTGAAATCTCGAGACAGTAATGAAACTTTTCACCGAGGTATGTACCTATACTATTTTATTTACAATCATTCGAATTTTGAAATTTTCATTTGGATTAAAACTAAAAAATACAATAATTAACAATTTCATTTACTTTCGGCCCACGCGTCGAAAGTTTACTTTCGACCCGTGGGCCGAAAGTAAAAGTCAAAAAATACAATAACTTTTAAAAATTTCATTTACTTTCAGCCCATGGGTCGAAAGTAAAAGTCAAAAAAGTGACATTTTCGAACTTTTTAAAAGTCAGTAAAGTCAACATTACGTATGATTGTAAATAAAAGTTTTTATTTTCAACCATATTATAAAGTCTGTTTTTTTTTAAAGAGACTTGTCAAAATGACATTATGTTGGCAATACAATGTGAAATTGTCAATGCTTTCAAATTTTGTACGTGAAAAAGGATTGCGTTGCCAACATAGTTACTAAATTTTTGACTTGGGGAATTGTCTTAAAAAAAAAAAAACAGACTTTATGTAATATTGACATTGCAGACTTTTTAAAATTTTGAAATTGTCACATTTCTGTACTTTTATATTTTATCGGGACGGCAATGCGTATGCGTTTCCGTCCCTATTTCCCTGCTCGTTTTTTTATTTGATACTGACACTTACAAAGAAAAAAGTGGAAGCTGATTTTTTTCTAAGGCCAATTTCATACTCTCAAAAGATAGGAAGGATTTCGCACAGTAACATCTTTCTCTCAGAAATTAGTGGTTGAAAATAAAATTGTATACTTAAAAACCTCGACGGAAAACTTCATTGCTGTCTCGAAATTTAGTTTTTCTACTACCGTGCGTAAAGTTCTAACTTCACCCACGCTAGACAGTGCGTAAAGTAAGTATCTTCACGCACTAGTACGTAAATTAATTTCAATGACAGATGCCATGACACTGTCAAATTAGTATTTTTTTATTAAATTACTTCACGCACTAGTGCGTAAAGTGAAAATACTTTTACGCACTAAAAGTATTTGTCTAAATTTATTTTTTTACGCATATTTTATTGGTAGTAGAAATTTTTTCTTGTGTAAAGCACTTTTTTTCACTTCTGTGATTGTCAGAATTCTAATTCGTGAAAAAAAAGTTCACTTCACACACTTGTTGCATAAATAGCTATTATCTCGACGCTACGCGTCTCAATAAAATTTATAACCTCTTGATCAACAATGAAGCATTTTCTGCCTCGGATTGTAATATACTATTTCGATTGCTGCCATAAGAAACAATCGGCAAAATTTACTTTTTCAATTTTGAGTTCACAAAACAATGTGCTATAGAAAATAGTTATTTATGCAACAAGTGTGTAAAGTGAACCTTTTTTCACTCATGTGATTGTCGCACTCGCCTTCGGCTCGTGCGTCAAAATTCACATTCGTGAAAAAAGGTGCTTTCCGCACGTATTGCATACAAAATTTTTTCTACTACCAATCAAATATGTGTAAAAAAAATAAATTTAGACAAATTCTTTACGCACTAGTGTGTAAAGTATTTTCACTTTACGCACTAGTGCGTGAAGTAATTTACCAGAAAAATAGTAATTTGACAGGTCGACATTTGTCATTGACATTACTTTACGCACTAGTGTGTGAAGTGAACTACTTTACGCGCTAGTGCGTGAAGAGAAATTTTACGTCTTCGGAATAGTGCGTAAAGTGAGTACTTTACGCACGGTAGTAGAAAAAAGATTTTTTTTTATAATTCCACAATCCATGAATAACAGTCCAGGAATCGCTTTGCCGGCTTAAAACAGAAAATTTAGATAAAAATTAAATTGTCTTTCCGGCCTAAACCAGAAAAAAAAAGATTCAAATTTTCAAATTTTTATAGAATTTATTTATTTAAAAAATGTGATCGCAGAGAGGATAGCATAGCAATTCGGAGGAAAAGCACATACTCGGCCTCCTGCTTGGAAAAATATTTAACCGTTGACGTTGGCCGAGAATTTGATATTTCTCCTTCTAAACACATATATTATTATAGTATTACATTACCTGTAGTTTTCCTAAATAATGTTTCTCTTTAGGTACACAAAGAATGGAAAACCAATACAATAATCAAGCCATACATTCTTGAAAGTTATGATTCGACTGGTAAGTTCAAGACAAAAAAAAAACAAAGTAATAGGTGACTACTACTACTTATTGAAATAGGAATGAAACTTTTACCTGAATTATTTTGATTGGTATTTCAACTTTCTGTTAAAAACGCCACCAAAAATAGACCTAAACTTTGACAAGAATGCAAAAGGTTATTTTTGGCACTTTGGGCACTAAAGTAACACTCCCTTAGGGACTAAAAGCACAAGAATAAAGCTAAAATAAAGTTGGAGGAGTAAAATTGCGGGCGGAAAGTACCACTTTTCCGCATTGCGTGCGTGAATTTTTTTTTTACCGCACGGCGTGCGCGAAAAAATAATTTCACGCACTGTGTCTAGAATAATTTTCAATTAATTCTACTTATAAATCTTATAATAAAAATAATTGTTAACGTTCTGTTGTTGAACTTACTGCGTCATTAAACTTGATGAAAAAATCACATTTTTGACCATTTCTTTTATATACATATAGGCAGTAGAGCCAAAAACAAACAAAAAAACAATATGTGAATTTCCGCACGCTCGTAGGAAAAATGTTGTACCTAACACGAGCGTAAAGTATCTTTTCCGCACTTACGCCTTGCACGAACTCCGCCGGCGCGTCGTCCGTGCAAACGCCGTTGCGTGCGGAAAAGTATAACTTTCCGCACCTGTTAGGTAAATAACTATTTCAGGACTGAAATAAAATCAGGACCAGTAATAGTATATTACAATCCAAGACGGGAAATGCTTCATTACTGGTCGAGAGGTTTTATAGTTTATCGAGACGCGTAGCGTCGAGATAAACTGAACCTCGAGACAGCAATGAAGTTTCCCGTCGAGGGTTGTATACTATTTTATTTTTAACCATAATTTCTTGGAAAAAAAAATCGGGGCAGCCAAATGAGGTCGGCAAATGAAGAGGAAAATGAGAACGGGAAATATTTCCCTGCTCCATTTTCCGTCCGTGGACGGGAAATGAGGACGGAAAAAATTTCCCGTCCTCACTTCTCGTCCTGGGACAGGTAATGGAGCAGGAAAATGAAAAGACAGAAATGTGACATTTTCAAATTTTTGAAAAGTCAGTAATGACAACATTTCATATATGGTTAAAAATAAAATAAAATATTTCACAGATAGCAACGCTTTTTTTGAGCGAAATTTTTGAGTCTATGGTGTGTTTTTTTCTTAGTAAATAAATTAATGATTTAATCAAAATAAAATTTTAGATACATCAATTTCTCACCTCTTGGTTATTGGTTAAATTTTTACTTTTCAATTAAAATTTTTTCCATTATCTTTTTTAGACTCTACATTACGCAACAATATTTGTTCATCTTGCCAACTTGCTCCTACCAACGTCCAAAATTTTGAAATGTGTTCCATATGTGAAATGCCACTCCATAGAAACGATAACTGTCTTGTGAAATACGAAAATCTGATACTATGTAAACCTTGTTTTATTCGGGGCGTCCAAGATAAAAGTATTGTTGAACAGCAAGCAGAAGAACAATGGATGAGATGCAATGTACCCCCCAAAAAACGACCAAGAGCGTCTTACCTAGAACCTGACACCGAAATATTACTTTACCGATATGAAAAAAACACATAGAGCTGCTGCCATTGGTTTATTAAGGAATGGTTACATTGTCCATACTCAGCCTATTAAACTCGAAAAAAGTTACATAACATTAAAAAATACTTGTAGTTTAGATTCGCTGGCACAACTTTTATGCGTAGGGTATTGTGATAGTGAAAATTTTAAAATTGCCATCGATCAATGTACTGATAATGTACTATGCGAACTTGTAAAGAAAATCATAAGCTCCGGAGTAACACCAGCATATAGGATTCGCGCAAAGCTTCTCTTTGATAATTTTCCACACATTCAACTTCCTAATGAGATAATCTGTGTTCTTGGGGAAGGTACTATTTGTGATACCATAACAAAATCTTTTTATAACTTAGAAATGGGCCATACAGTTACTTTCTGTGAAAATTGTGAAAATAAATCTATTAAAAAGCTTCATTACATATCAGTTGAAATAAATAATGCATCCAAAATAGACATATCAAAGGCTGTTTCTCATAGCACATACAAAAGATGTGATAAATGTCTTAAAGATAGAGTAACAACGCAAGTAAGTCTGAATAATAACTTTCTACTTATAGAGCCCATAAACACTAAAAAATATTCATTGATGGTTGACACTACGCTGGATGCAATACAAAAGTATATAAAGCATGACAATAATACTTTTATCCTCAGGGGAATAGTATCTTATCAAGGAGTTCCACATCCAAAACATTTGGGACATTTCGTTGCACTAGGATATCGACATAATGATAAATGGATCAGATACAATGATCTTTCAATAAAGCCCGAAACCATTACTCCAAATACATTTATCCACTGTATTTTATTATTTTACTCGATCTAATTTGTTACCTATGTGTAATAAAGTGTAATTTGCATTATATCATTTGCTTTTTACTGCGAAAAACAAACCTTAGATAAATTTAAATCAGCTATCGTGTTTAAATGTGAATTAGGTATTTTAATTTCACTTATGACATTTCATATTTAATAGTGAGGAATTTTATATTTGACATTTGTTGTTTTGTCAGATTTTTTGTGAAATAAAATTTAGATTCGTAAGAAAAACTGGTGTACAGTTGGTGTTTTAATTCTTTTTTTCGATTGTCGTGTCAGAATGTCATATTCTCGATTTTCATGTCAGAATGTCATATTCTCGCACGCAAAATCGTTGAAAAATAAAGCTCATTCTTCAACGATTTTCAATGACATTTAGTTATCAAAGTATTAGTTGGTACCTTCAAAAATATCAAACCTTGCAATAAATGTCGAAACTAACAGTAAAATCCAGCTGTCAGTTGTCTTTTAACTAAGTGTTACCGTTACCAACTGACATTTTTTGAGAGAAAAATCCCCAACTAACAATGACTACAAAAAATTTATTAAAAACGGTAAATAAAATCCAAAATTGAGAAAATATGTAGTATAAAACATACATTGAAGACTATTCTCGCACTCATTCGTTCGTCCACTCGCTCCTTCGTCGCTCGTGTCCAAATTTTGAATTCGTGCGAGAATATGTGGCCTTCTGCAACAATTTTAATATAAAGTCTGTTTTTTTTTAAAGATAATTCCCCAAGTCAAAAATTTAGTTTGTAAAAATGTTGGTAACACAAGCCTTTTCTACACAAAAAATTTGAAAGCATTGACAATTTTACATTGTATTGCCAACATTTTCACACTCATTTCCGTGCGAAAATAGCTGTTTTTGTGACAAGTACCTGAAATAAGGTTTTCTAGGACGAATATTTGCTGTTTGCAAATGAGTTCTAAAAAACCTAATTAGGTGCAAGGTAAAGATGTTAGTTGTAAAAATCGACAATAAGAAATACCTAGCTAAAGATAAATTTCAGTTGCACTAGTTCTGAAAATGTTCTGCAGTTGTGGCCACCTCGATTCCATCGGAACGCCCGTTTTCCAAAGCTGGACAAACGGTCACACAACAAAGAAACAGGATAAAGGATAAATTATTGTCAAATAGTATATTGTTGTATTAGGAGTAGAAGCTTAACTTTTTTGTGCTGAAGCAGTAGGTTTGCGAGCCGACCGTAGTGAGGCTTGCAATACTGCTGAAGCACAAAAAAGTGCTTCTACTCCGTATGCAACACGCTATTTTTTCTCCAAACTAATGGGGTAAGCGGTAAGCTCGGGGCAAGTGAATGGTTAAGCGGCAGTAAAAGTACGAGCGGCACTAAAAGTACTTTTGCTGCCGCTGGGGTTGCCAAGCAGCATAGAAATTGAACTTCTACCACCTCGACTGGTGTTAACCCGCTGGATTTGTAGATGTGCCTGGCAGCATAGAAATCAAATTTCTGACAACTTGACAGGGGTTAACAAAGTGACGTTTTTTTGACGTTTGGAGAAAAACTATTTTTTCTTCAAGGTATCGCATCTAAACCTACCTATTTTATTCAAGTGGCTCAAGTGCAACTTATTTCTAGCAATATGAAACAAAAAGTTGAATCAAAATACCTAAACATTCTACATAGGTATAGTATTTCCATAGTGAATTGAAATGAAACAAGGTGAAAATAAATTGCAACTGGTGGCATGGCTGACTAGTGGCAGTACATTTCTTATGGAAATATTCAGTCACCACTCAACAGTCAGCCACCAGTTGTGATTTATCTTTACCTTGTTTCAAGTGACTTGTAAAGACTATACTTAAATTATTAAATTTTTTCTATGGCTTGAATTTAATTTTTCTGTTCGCCTGGGAATTTTTTCTACCTATTTTTTTGTACTTAGTGTTGGGTTAGCGGTTTTGTTTAGACTGTGGAAATCGCTACTGTTATTATTAGCAAAGCAAAATTAAATTATTTTTCACATTCTATGATTATAGGTATTCTGTAAAAATAGAACTTTTCCATGTTTACCTACTTTATTTTACCCTCAAAACATCGATATTTGTCAAACATCGATATTTTCACTTTGATACATCAGTTGCATCGATGGTGAAATATCGATGTTGTCACCGATGTCCAAAATCGACATCTGTGATCGATGCCGCATCCCTAAGTTTTACGTCGCCACTAGGATCTAGCCGTAGCCAGATGCGAATCGATTTTGCCCCAAAGTGGGCATGCTTGCCTATTCTCAACGGATTGTATCGATTCGCAATTCGACGCGACATTTGGATTCGGAATTAAAATTATTAAAAATATTTATTATTGCTATAAAAATAAAAACAATGGCGGTATTGAGTATTATAAGGCATTCCGTAATTTCCATATTTCCAAAATATTTAGATTTTGAAATATGTATATCTCTTTCAGCTAGAAGAGGAGACTGAATACTGCTGAAACACCCTGTATAAATTTTACAGGGTGTTTCGTGTGTCCTAACCCCGGTCAGTAACTTCGGGTGTTAGTTTTAAAAAAAAATCTTTTTTTGCAATATTTTGGAAAATATCTTCTACCCAATTTAGCTGGAATTTGTTACCTACCGTTATTTATTATGATAAGAAGCTAATTTAGCTCTAATTAAAATTTTTTTTGCATGCCCGACAAAATTTTCTTGATTTCTATTGAGCTGATCTGAATTTTGAAAAATTCAGTCCTTCACAAAGATGCAACCGGGGAGGACATTGAAAATGCCGAAGCAGAGTTCAACGCTCATGACTGTTGTAACCCCAACAGTTCAAACTGCTCCGAACACTTCGAACTGCTCCGGACAAAGGTGTTCCAAACAGAGCTACTCCTAACAGTTCGAACTGCTACAAACAGTTCGAAATGCTCCAAACAGTTCGATCTGCTCCGCTTGGACCTAATCTAAACTAACTCAAACATAAAACGCACAGTTAAAAGCGAAAAACGGTTGTCTCCACGTTGTCACTGAAGTAAAAAACCACTAAATAATAAATGGCGCCTAGCACCGCTACGCTATGCCATAAAACTAAGAACTGGCAACATAGCGCTTCCCGTCATGAATCTAAATTGCCTTTTTGTTTGGACGCCATATTGCGATGCGCGAAATAAGTTGCCAACAGTAGCAGTTTTGAGCTGTTCGAATTGTTCTGAGTAGTTTGAACCGTTCGGAAGAGTTCAAACTGTTCGGAGCAGTTCGAACCATTCAAAGCAGCTATGTTAGGAGCACCTCTGCTTGCAACGAAACAGTTCGAACTGTTCGGAAAAGTTTTGAGCTGCTCCGAGCACAGTTCGAACCGTTTGGAGCAGTTCGAATTAGTTTGAACTGTTTGGGTTAGTTTTGTTCAAAGCAGCTCTTTCGGAACGTCTCTCTTTTCGGAGCAGTTCGAAATGTTCCGAGAAGTTCGAATTGTTTAGAAGAGTTTGAACTGTTTGGAGCAGTTGGGACTGTTCCGAGCAGTTCTGAATTATTCGGCGCAGTTTTGAATTGTTCGGAGCAATTAAAACCGTTCGGGGCAGTTCGTACCGTTGATTGCATAATATACTATTACCTACTTCTTCTTTTCACTAACCATTGCCTAATATGGCATGCATACCATTTAAAATTTTGAAAAAAAATCACAGGCAACACCGCTCAATCTTGCTTGCGAGCAGCGGCGTTTCGTATCCGTTCCCCGTCTCTGTGACGTACCTATGGGACAAATGCAACACAAGAATTTCGAATTTCGTACCACATACTACGTGCCCGTGCCATAATATAAACATTTTCAATGTTAATAATTTAATTGCCACCAAAAAAAGCTAAACGTACATTTTGAATTAAAAAAACAAAAATAACTTCCCATTATTTCTTCAACTAAAAAGTAGGTAGGTATAGTACAGGGTGTCCCAATAGAAACAGACCTGTTTCAAGGGCTTATATGCATTAATAAGTTATAAGCATTTAAAATTGGTCACTTTCTATTCGGACACCCCGTATTTCCACAGTCAATTTGAACAAGGTAAAAGTATATATCGTATAACTTGGGGTGCGTTCATAAATGAACGCCCGGCGCTCCCCGATCGCCCAAATGCGTTCATAAATGACTTCGGCTTCACCGGTGTCAATGTTCCAGGCGTTCATAAATGTTCGTTGGTGTGCACCCGGAGCGCGCCCGAATCGACCTGCTAGCTGACATGGGTAAAAATGACCCGACATGCGCAGTACGTTTCAGGAGTGGACGTTTGTTTGTTTTCGGTTTTCGGGTTCGCAGTTTTCGTTTATTATTGATAACCTCGAAAAAGGAGATTTTTGATATTTTTAAACTGTTGAGTATTATTTATTGAAGTTGGTTGAAGTTGTTAATATGGATGAGGAAATGGAAATTAATCCCGAGAATTTCAAACTGATCGAAATTGATGGATCACCATTTGCAAACGATGAAAATCACATATATTTACAACATGTTCTAGGTTAGTATTTAATTTACAGGTTTCTGATAATAATTACAATAGTTTCTCTGAATCAATCATTAGTTTTGACCATTTTATATAGTTTTGAGAGCGACCCAAGTTGGTGATTGTGTCATTAAACGTCCCACGAATTTCGCTACAAATCTTTTATGAAACGATAGTACACTTACTGAAATATTATTTTGATCCAAGAAAAGTTGTGGCAAATTACCTAATTCACTTTTTCTCTAGAGAAAATAAGTAAAATGAGATGCTCGATCTGGTGAAGTATTACAAGGTTAATAGGTATATTTTCTTTGAAATGCCCAGGCCTGGTTAGATGCGATGCGGGAAATATTAAATGAATAAATTTATTTGCTCAAATTAATAGGAGAATATTGTTATTTAAAATCATCCCTTGAATTGTTTCGAAAAGCATGATTTTCCAGCCAGTCTAGCGGTATCGCCGGTTGGATTGTCGGAGGAGTTTGGTTTGATGGCGGTGAGTTTGGTTAGTATAATTTTTCTCATTTCTTTATGCGCTTTATACCTATTTTTTGAAATTTAATGTAATGTTTTTTTCGTTGAAACGCGTGTATTCCGCAATTTTTTCTTTTCAAAAAAATACTATTAGAACCAGAACTTACGTCTAAAAATTGTTTTTTCCTTTAATTGGTGGGACGCTATATAACACAAGACCCCCATTATTATTATAAACCATATAATATGCTACTTTTGCAACTACATGAATCTGATAGAACTTGTAGGGTATCTTTCAAATGTGTAGGATATGTAGTTCCTATTTTTTTCAGATGGAAGCATTATAATTGCACCTTTAGATGAAGAGATAAAAAATATGTTTTTTCCATGTCAAGCCACACAGCAGTCAACTTCAATGCATAAGAGCAGTGGAACTCGAACATGGACTCGATCTGACATTCTAGCATTAATAGATGCAGTGAAAAACCATCAGGAAAAATTCAAGTCCAGTACAATGAAAAATGACGCTGTTTGGAAAATTATTTCTGCTACATTGGAAAAAAAAAGAAAATGTTTCACAGCGACTCAGTGTAAAGACAAATATAAGTATCTCAAAGGAAAATATATGAAAAAAAAAGATAATATGAGTGACAGATCCAGTGGTGCGGAATTTATAAAATTTGAATATTTCCACGAAATGGACGAATTTTTGGGAACGTCCCATAATGCAAACCCTATTGCCTTGGCTTCTAACATCAAAAAGCACCAAGGTAAATATACGACTGGGGAATTGTAAAAGAATTACATTGTCATCTATCACTACATAGATGTATATAGGATGGAATTCTTAAATCAAATAAATTCAGTATTGGAAAGCCTGTTTATTTGCTGAAAAAATTTAAAAAAAAACGGGTCCCTTTATTTGTAATTTAGCACATTTTTTCGACCTTCTCATGGAATTTACCCCTTTTATAAGGGTTTCAACTTTTTTATCAAATGTAAAGGCATGTATTGTGATAGCTCGTTGGAATGGGCATAAAAAAAGGAATATGACACATTATTTACTTTTGCATTTCGGATTTCGGTGATCTAGGAAGCTAGAAAATATTCAAAAAATATCTTTTCACAAAATTTTTTTTACTGTTAAAATTGTTGAATATCTTCAGGATTTTTTCTTGGTAGAACGCCCCCTTTGTTATGTTATGTAATAATTTGGTGCCTTACACTCAGATTGTCAAAATTAAATAGTGTACTAACGTCAGAATTTATTACATAACATTACAAATGGGGCTTTTTTTCACATTAGGGTTCTACCAAGAAAAAATTCTGAAGATATTCAACAATTTTAACAGTAGAAAAAATTGTGTGAAAAAATATTTTTTGATTATTTTCTCGCTTCCTAGATCACCGAAATGCAAAAGTAAATAATGAGTCATATTCCTTTTTTTATGCCAATTCCAACGAGCTATCACAATACATGCCTTCACATTTAAAAAAAAAAAGTTGGGGGGGTTTCTACCCTTATAAAAGGGGTAAATTCCATGAGAAGGTCGAAAAACTGTGCCAAATTAAAAATAAAGGGACCCGTTTTTTTAATTTTGTTCAGCAAATAAACAGGCTTTCCAATACTGAATTTATTCCATTTAAGAATTCCACCTGTATAGTAAGGTGTTCACTTGACAGAATTTGCCGCAGGTAGAGGTAAAGAACAATAATTATCGAAAGTACTGTAAACTGTCCACCTGCGATAGATGCTCTCGAGAGTATTAAGTAGCATTCGACAGTTTTTCTGTTAAGTAAATACTTTTACTTTTAACTTGCCATAAAGCTGAAATCAGAAAGTCATTCCTTTCAACCACCCCATATAATTATATTGCGGAATCTGCATATTACCGCTTATATTACCAAAACGAAACATTCCAAAATTTTAATGTATATTTCAGTCCCAGACACAGAAGAACGCAATATGTTAGACAGTGATGATAATGACACTGATACATCGGAGCCTAGTTTGAAGAAGAAAAAAATTGCCACTAAGCGAAAATTGCCAGAAAAGGAGAGTCCCCTTCAGAAATATGTCAAAGAGTTACATGAAAATACAAATAAAAGAGAAGATAATATGGAAAGACGCCATAAAGAAAATGTGGAATCACGCAAAGAAGCATTAAATGTCTTTGCTCAAAAAATGGATGCTATTATATCAATAATGGCTAATAAAAACAAGCAATAGAGATAATAAAAAAAATTACAATTTTTTTTGTTATTTTGTTCAAAAGTTTATTTGTTGTGTGGTTACCAAAAAAAATGAATATTTTTAATTTTATTCAAGTTGTGTAATTCCACTAGAATTACATTTTTATTATTTTGTTTAAAAGTTTATTTGTTTAGTTATTGGTTATCGTTACCAAAAATAATGTTTATTTTTGTAAGTTCCATTTGATTTAATTTGTCTCCATAAGGTATAGTATTTCCAAAGTCAGTTGGAACAAGGTAACAACTGGTAGCTGATTGAATATTTTCATAAGAAATGCACTGCCACTAGTCAGCTACCAGTGATGATTTATGTTTACCTTGTTCCAATTGACTTTGGAAATACTATACCTATTCTGGCTGTCAAACTTAAATAAATATTAATTTAAAACGAGATTTGACATGAATAAGTACATGTAGTTCAGATTTAATGAAATTTATTTATACCTCTACTCTCGACCCAAACTTAATGTCTAAAAGCCAATAAATGTTCATTATAAATAAATAGTATAAACAATAGTATAATACGATAAAAGTGGTAATTCTAAACATTTGTGGAACGTATCCCCAGCACTCTTTAAGGTTGATTTAGGGTTTCTTGGTGTTAAGTTTAATGGCAACTTCTGGATTATTCTGCGGTTTTTTTGCTACTTTTCTTACCAAGAAGTCGTTTGATTTTTACTCTACTCAAAATTAAAAAATAAATTTTAATAATTTGTAGGAGGTAGTTTTTGTTGCCAGTCCCTGCCACATCCCTAGTATCTTGTATGACTGTTATTGACAAGGATACAAAAAAAAATTAGTCCGGAAAAGTACTTTATTGCACTATTTAAAATTTGATTTATTATAGCTCAATTCGATGAATATTCACAATTTCACATTACTCTTCACTTTTTGATCAAAATTCACTAAAAAGTTTGTGGCGTATTAGGCCATAATTATAAGCTATAAGCTCGTAGAACAAATCTAGTACGTAACACGATGCGTAAAGTGCCTTTTCCGCCCTTGCCGGCTTGCCAGAACTCCGCTTTGCGTCGTTTGTGCAACTGCCGTGGCGTGCGGAAAAGTTCCACTTTTGCACATGTTAGGTAAATAACTAATTTCCACTTGTACTGTAATACACTATTATTTGCATAATCTACAGTGAATTATTAGCAGGTTTCGTTCAAAAATACAATTTGCATCATACATTCTATTGATACTGATATAATGTCCTACATATCTGTTGCCTTTTATTTCTACCTTCTTGTACTTGTTCATTATAAAAAACATCAATATCTTCTCCGTTGTTTTGTACAGCATTTAATCCTCCTCTCACATATTCCTCAATCAATAAGTCTTCAAAATTTAAACATATATTGTGTAATATAGTGCAGGCAAGAACAGTATTGGGAATAAAACTTGTTTTGTTCATGTCCAAAAATTTCAATCGTCTGAAGCGCCCAAAAAGAAGTGCAAAAGCTCTTTCTATAGTTTGTCGAGTCTGACTTACTTTTGTATTAAAATATCTCTGTGCTGCAGTTAAGTTCCCACGGTCAATGAAAGGTGGAATGCACCATGTTAAAACCGGATAGGCTTTGTCACCAATGATAAATTCTTCTAAAAATAATTCAGAAATAATATCCACGTAAGTTACATTCTATGAGATTTTTGTCATACCATTTGGAATATAGTGATCATGATTGTTTAGTACAGCAAAATATAGATCGGAATTCCGAAATATTCGTGTATCGCTAACTGATCCCGGAAATCCTACGAAACAGTCTGTAAACTTTAATCGATTATCACAAACAGCTTGTAAAGTCATCGCGTAATTACATTTTCTTGTCAGGTAAGAGTTTGGGTCTTCTTTGGGTGCTTTGATTACAATAAATGTACCATCAACTGCACCTATAATATTCGGAATTCTTGCAATTCGTTCGAAACCTTCTTTAACTCTTTCTAAATCATTCCCTCTTGGCCATTTTATAACTTGTGGAGCTATGTCACATAGAGCATTTACTACTCTCGTAAAACATTTTGAAAGAGACGATTTTGCCATATCAAATCTCTCTCCTACAGACCTATAAAACCATTTTGTTTTAACAGTTAAATACCCAGTGTACTTTCTGCCCTTACCGATATGAATCTGGTGTTGCCAGCAACCAAATAACAGCTAAAATTTGTTTTTCAACATCTAATCTGCTTCTGCCAACATCTGTTTGTCTAATTAATATTGGGCCAATATATCCTAATAATGTATCATATGCATCCAAAGTTATTCTAAAATTTTGTTGAAACTGACCCCTAGTGTAATTCCAAACAACCTTTTCAACATAATTTTCTATACGGTCAGGTTTATAAAAACTTCGTTTACGTGATATCTGGATTAAATTAGGTAAATCCTCATCCTCATGTGTTTCTTCAGAGTCTTCCTCCAACAGTATCATGTAGCAAAAATTAATTATGCTCACTAGTATTAGCACAACAATTTCTTCGTCCAACATAATTTTCGCAGGTCACAGAGCTAGAGCTATTTTTATAGTACTGTACTAGAATCCTCACTAAAACTAGAAACTAATAAGGTAATAAATAATATTTTTTTTATTTGAAAAGTTGGGTTAAGATGAATTTCACCCAATGAACTATAACCAAGACTGGAATGCGCACACGATTGCCATATGCGTCAAAATGTGAAGCCACCTTGTTAGACAAAGACGGATGTCGCAAAGGGGAATGTTGTTCTTTTCTGTTGCTCGCTGACATATGACGTTCCAAAGAAATTCATTATATTTGAGCTATTTTTTGGAGATTTTATTGTGAAATTGGGAGATAATGTGCATAAAAACTATAGAAAATGGTTGTCTATTGTTGTGCCTATAGATGTACAAATGAAAGGACACCGGGGACTAAGCTACGGTTTCATAAGTAAGTATTTTTCCCCTTCATTCATATGTAGGTTAGAATCAAATCAATAATACAAGCATTTCTGCTCACATATTATTATTTGCCTACACCAAAAGGTGAAGATAGTCAAATTTGTTTTGTTGTTCATTGTTTAAGGTTTCCTTTGTCAAGGCCTGAAGTTTTGAGATTATGGATAAAAGCTGTTCGTTGGGAAAATTTCAAGCCATCAGCTCATACAGTACTATGCAGTGACCATTTTAGGGAGAGCGATTATTTGGAATCATCATTACATAAAAAATTATTGAAAAAGGATGCTGTGCCTTCAATTTTCAAGTTCCCTAAACATTTACAAGTAGCACCCGCTGTACAAAGAAGAAAAATCATTAAGAAATCTCTGGTGGAACCTAAGATACCTGAGGCTGAGGTATAATATTATAAATGTGTAATTCCAAGACAAACTTAGCTTTGTACTTTTATGGCATATTATTATTTAAATAATACTATATTTTATCATTTTACAGCCTGCTTGCAAGTTTCAGTGTGTTACTAAGGATATTGCAGTTCAAACTAGAAAATCTGCCCCAGAAGTTAGAATCAAGAGAAAAATTAAAAACCTTCAACAAAACGTGAGGAGAAAGACCAGAAAAATTAGAACAATGCAAGATTTAATAAAACATTTAAATGAAAATTCTAAATGCGACACTGGTTTGGAGGAAGTTTTGATGAATAACTTTGAGGGTCTTTCCTTAGATATATTTAGAAGTGAGCTCCATAACTCTAAAGTAAGTCCAAACCGAAGAAGATATTCCTTAGAAGTTAGATCATTTGCCCTTACATTATATTTTTATTCACCAAGAGCTTATAGTTTTTTACGAAAAACCATGTGTTTGCCCCATCCTGCAATGTTGAGAAAGTGGCTTTCTGTTTTTAATTGTGAAGAAGGTTATTTACAGGAGGTATTCAAGTTTCTTAAAGCGGAGGCAACTAACTGTGATTATTTGCATGATGTTGCCTTAGTCTTTGATTCAATGGCAATACGCTCACAAATTGTTTATGACAAACAAAATGACAAACACTGTGGTTATGTTAGTTTAGGAAAAGTAGCATCGGCAGATGCCCAAGAATTGGCGACCGAAACATTAGTATTTATGATTGTTTCATATACCTATAATTTTAAATGTCCTATTGCCTATTTTTATGTTAATAAAATCAATTCGATTTTACTTAAGCAATTTACCTTAGTTGCTATCCAAAAATTATTGGAGATTAATATTCATGTTCGTTCGATAACTTGTGATGGTTGTGTAGCCAATATTAAAGCTTTTTCTTTGTTAGGTTGTAATTTGAGTTCAGAAAATATGGAAGCAAAATTCACAATCAATAACTTTTTTTCTGTTGAAAAACTAAGCATTGATAAATCTTTAGATGTATATTGTATGTTAGATCCCTGCCATCTTATAAAATTGCTTAGAAATGCATTTGCAGAAATGAACATTTCATCACCATCTGGAAACATTGAATTCAAATTTGTAGAGAGGCTACATTTGTTACAGGAAAAAGAAGACCTAAAATTAGCTAATTCGTTAACTGGTGCTCATATAAAGTTTAAACAAAAAAAAATGAATGTTCGTCTTGCAGCTCAGGTAATTAGTTCTAGTGTGGCTGATGCTATAGACTTTTTACGGATGTCTGGAGTTGAGGAATTTAAGGGAAGTGAGGCAACTACTGAATTTTTACGTATATTCGATAGAATTTTTGACATTATGAACTCTCGATCTTCATTTGGAAAAGGCTATAAATCACCTATGTCTCTAAAAAACTTGAAGTACTGGAAAAATATATTTGTTGAAACTTCTGAGTACATAAAGAAATTGAAAATTAATGAATGCAATGTACTACAACATGCAAGAAAAACCTTTGCTCTTGGTTTCCTCATGAATATTTATAGTTTTGAGAAGTTAGCATTGTTGCTTTTGACAAGGGAAGAAAGGCCCCAAAAGTATTTTTTAACGTATAAGTGTTCACAAGACCACTTAGAACTTTATTTTTGCTGTATAAGAGCTGCTGGAGGGTGGAACAATAATCCCAATGCACAACAATTTAAATGGACACTACGAAAGTTATTATTTAGGAACAGTGTTCGGCCTAGTG